TTCTTCCATCGTGATCTCACACGCATCATTAAGCTCCTCGAGACCATGGGACGTAAAGTGTTCGATCTTGTTCTTAATAGCTTTGTCACTCGACTCATACTTAACCTCTTTGTGCTTGCTCATAGCCATGCCAGATCGACCAAAAGCACTGTTGCCTACCAGTTTCACCATCTCGGCAATCATAGCCTTCGACTTATCAACATCACCCTCTCGCCGGGCGTTTGATACAGCCTCCATAAATGGAGCAAAAGCTTTATGGGAGCTCGCTTTTATGAAGCTGTAAATCTTGGTGATCTCCAAACCATGAGAGAGATACTACTTCAGCAAAGATGCGTATCTGAGAATCTTTTCACCAAAGTAGCTACCAAATAACGTGCGAGCTGGTTTTGCTCGGCTTTGCTTGCGCGCCTCATTGTGTTCGAACATTTGCTTACCAATGACGCTATCATTCGTACAGTCGATCAGTACATTCTTGAAAATTGGAGTCATCTCACGAAAGTACTGTTTAAGGTATTCTGGTGTTCGAATATCACATTCAAGAAAGCCGAATACTTTGTATGCTTTGATGTCATCGATGATACCATCATGCGCTTCAACCGTAGTCAATCGACCGCATGACATCTCATTACCAAGGGCCCATAGATATAGAGCGTTAGCGTCGTATCCGATAATTTTCTTGCAGATCTTACCTCCATGAATCTTCGTCTCGTTTCGCTTAGCATACCTGTTGAATATAATTGATGGTCCACCAGCAATGTTAGCTTTCATTTTCCCGTAAATCTCAGATTCCTCCTTGTCAATCGAAAACACCAATCTGTCTGCGTTAAAATCAAGCAGTTTCTTGTATCTGAACCCCCTAAGAGACATATCTTTTCGAGCGGTGTTGCATGAAATGCAGCTGATCAAGATATTCCCATCAGGGTGCCCAAGATTGTTATTGATTCTATCACCGGAAAATTTTTAATCTGTGGTCCCGTGGAAAATAAGAAAAACCCCCCCCTATATCTTTGTTTTTTGCAAAAAGTATAATTACGGGGTCCCAAGGGCCAAACCAATTTCTGTTTAACTTAACAACTGAACTCCTGTAGCCAGCCATGCGCTTCGCTGAAATCGGAATGCGTTAGCAGGTTTCTTATCCGGATATTGGAGATTATTGAAGCAGGTCTGTACATAACCTTCTCTGAAAGACCAGGTAGGGACACTCCATCCGCAAACATATCCAGATCGAAGCGCTTAAATAGCTCTCGCTGAGCCTTGATAGCTTTGGTGAAAGGGACTACGTCGAGATTATTGTACCAGATCAGTAGGTCTTTGATCGATTTCATCTCGTGGTAATCCCACACGAACTTCACTCGTTCGTAGTCATCGCTCGTGATGCTCGTTCCACGGAGCTTACTATCAAAAGCTGACTTAGGTGGGATAGTAGTCTGCTTTAGAACATTGAACGCGGTGATGTACTCGTAAGGGAAAAGACCCTTACCAAGACCACAGACACATCTAATTTTGTCATCGCATTTGCAGCCACCGAGATATGCTGTAAGATACTTGTCGTAGCTGGTACCAGCTGGTACATAGTTAGTGATATCAAGCATTTTCATGTCCGATGTAGCAATGCATATGTAGCTGGGGTTCTTGATGACAGATTTGACGTTGTCGGTACCAATTACGGCAAACAAATCTTTCTTAATCAAGTTAATATCATATCGACCAGAATTGAAGCCGAATACTGGTACCTGGTCAAGCTGCTGTTTCAGCTTCCCATAATCAGACCTTTGCTTACCAAAAACAAGACTGCGGTGAAAGTCAAAGAAGCTGGCATACTTTCCTCCTCTTCAATCCAACTCTCCACATCAGACATCTTGTACTTTTTATCAGAATTAGCGCCTGGGACTTCAATACCTGTCAGACAATGTGCATTGATGATTTTTGCGTAGAAGCGACATATATTAATGGACATTGTACTGCTGAATCTTAAACGATTACATTCACCCAGATGTAATTGAACATTTCGGTAGGTAGACATCTTTGGATCGTCATTTACAAAGACACGCACCCCCTCCCGTTTAAACTATCAGCTACTGATACCGACACAGGAATGTGTTCGCTCGTGAAGACAGTATTCTCCCCGTATTGAGTCGCGGTAATCTTAAGAATGGCCTCAAAGTCATAAACGATGAAGTGATCGATGTACTGGTCAGTATTCCTGATTGAATACTTCGTAAGCAGTGATCGTATTACGTTCTGAGCTGGTTTGTAGATAGTTGGCTCAGCTGGGAAGCTTTCGATATTCACGAGCTCACATTGATTCTTTTTGTGATTTTTTACTTTTTCAGCGCTGACGAAAACCACTTCACACTTAGGGCATTGATACTTAGCCTGAAGCTTGTCAATGGTTCTT